CCAGGTTCAAGTCCCAGCATCCATATGATGGCTAATAACCATCTGTAACTCCAGTTCCAGGGGAATCTGATGCTCTATCCTGATTTATCGGGCATTTTAAGACATTGGTGCACTTACAGACATGCAGGCAATACATTCATACACATAAAATTTAAAAAATATGGTGTTTGCCGGGCGTGGTGGCACACGCCTTTAATCCCAGCACTCAGGAGGCAAAGGGATTGCTATGAGTTCAGGGCCAGCCTGGTCTACATAGTGAGTTCCAGGACAGCTGGGGCTACAGGGAGATCCTGTCTCAAAAAGACCAAAAAAAAAACCAAACAAACCAGAAAGTCTTACAAAAATACACTGCTATTGTGTACAACTCCCCTGAATGCAAAAGGAGCAACTAAAATATCAGTTTTATTTTCTTGGTCTTTTTGAGATAGGGTCTTCCTGTAGCCCCAGTTGGCCTTGAACTCACAGAGATCTGCCTGCCTCTACCTCCAGAGTGCTGGGATTAAAGGTGTGTGCCACCATGCCCGGCTAAAATGTCCGTTTTCATGCTGAGAATGTGACTACTTATGATAACTATGAAGGCATCCTTGCTTCATAAGGGCAGGTGGTTTCCAAACCATTATTTTGCAAAGTTAGAGGAGGTTCAGAAACTACCGACCAACAGATCTTCAATAAATTACTTACCACTGTCATTTTCTGGCTCATAACTCAGGGAACAGTCAAAGAATTGAGTAATATGACTGCAACAAAACACCTTCAATTTCTGTGGCTTATTTATTTTTCAGATAGAATCTTGCATATGTGGCTCAAACTGCCATTGAACATGTATCAGTCCTCCTCCTCAGAGTCCCAAATGGTGGACGTATGTGTAAGAGTATATTACAGGCATGTACCACCAGGCCTGGCTTCAGTTCTTTGTACTTAGTTCACATGGAGAAACTTTTTCAGTATTTTCAGCAATTAAAAACAACAATAGTTCTGCTTATTCTACTTATGTGTTGGTGCTGAGGACTGAGCCCAAGGCCTCACACATGCTAGGCAAGCACTCTGCATTGAGTCACCAGCATATATGATATATATGGATACATGTACTTAAAAAAATTAAAAAAGAGTTCTGGCCAATCCCAGCATTCCTAGCAGTAGGAGGCAAATATCAGCTACATAGTAACAGCTAGGGCCAGGGCTACATAGTGGAACTCTGTCTCTTTAAAAAAAAAAAAGGAGGGGGTGGCTGGAGAGATGACTCAGGCAGTAAAGGCACTTGCCATTCAGACCTAGTGACCTGAATTTGATCCCTAGAAACCTCGAAAAGGTGGAAGAATCACCTTCACAAAGTTGTTCTCTGGCCTGCACATGTGCACCATAACATACATGCACATACCACCACCCCCCATTTTAAATTCTTTTTAAAAAGTATTTTAAAAGGAGCATTTCAAATAAAAATTTTTATTTAATGATTATCAAAATTAAAAGTTTTCAAATGCAGTGGCGCATGCCTTTAATCCCAGCACTTGGGAGGCAGAGCCAGGCGGATCTCTGTGCATTCAAAACCAGCCTGGTCTACAAGGTGAGTTCTAGGCCAGCTGGGGCTACAGGGAGACCCTGTCTCAAAAAAAATAACACAAGTCTCTAATACCAACACTTGGGAGACAAAGGCCGAAAGATCAGGAGTTGTAAGCTAGCCTGTGCTACATGAGACCCTGTTTTAAATAAAATAAAAAGAAAGATAACTTAAAAAGAAAAGAACATAAAGGATGTGAGATTTCAAATGTCAGATAAAAACTGGATCATTTTTCTTTCCCAAAGTCTGCTGACTTCCCTCTGCCACAGAGCCCTATTCTTTTCTCTGTGCATTACAGGTACCAAGACATCACCAAGCCCTTTAAACCCAGTTCAGATTCACTCTCTGCTGTAGACAGACATAAGACAATTTGGTGGGAATCTAGGGCTCTGGCAGGACAAAAATCACAGTAACACAAGTCTCTAATACCAACACTTGGGAGACAAAGGCCGAAAGATCAGGAGTTGTAAGCTAGCCTGTGCTACATGAGACCCTGTTTTAAATAAAATAAAAAGAAAGATAACTTAAAAAGAAAAGCAAATAAAGGATGTGAGATTTCAAATGTCAGATAAAAACTGGATCATTTTTCTTTCCCAAAGTCTGCTGACTTCCCTCTGCCACAGAGCCCTATTCTTTTCTCTGTGCATTACAGGTACCAAGACATCACCAAGCCCTTTAAACCCAGTTCAGATTCACTCTCTGCTGTAGACAGACATAAGACAATTTGGTGGGAATCTAGGGCTCTGGCAGGACAAAAATCACCCTAATGGGCCTACCCATTCCTATTCATCAACGTAATCTCCAACCTTTTATCCGTTTCTCCAGACCTATGCTAGTATTCTTTTTCCACTAGTAACCTATTGTTGCCAGAGAAATGTGTATGCAATCCAGGGCATATAATCAAAACTTTATTGATAATAAAACAAATTTCTTTTAAAACAGCTCTTTGGTATACATATAATTTTATCATCTCTTTATAATTTTAAAACCTTTTATTGTTTAATATTTTATTATTTTATGTGTATTAGTGTATTGCCTGAATGTCAGTGTACCCCTGTTGTGCAATGCCTGGGGAAATCAGAAGACAGCATTGGATTCCCCTGGGACTGCAGTTACAGACAGTTGTTAGCCACCATGTGGGTGCTGGGAATCAAACCTGGGTGCTCATTTATTGTGTGTTTTGTGTTCACAGTGCCACATAACATGTGTGTAAAGACTGGAGGATTACTGGCAGGAATCCATTCTGTCTTCTCAGCATGTGGGTCTCAGGTTTTGAATTCACATTGTTAGGCTTGGCAGAAAGCATCTTTCTTTGACAGCCTGTGCTAAGCCATTTCTCCCTCCCTACAGTTATTTTATTTTTATGTGTATGTCACATGTGTATGGTATGCTCGGAGACCAGAAGAGGGTGTTGGAGCCCTTGGACCTGGCTTTATAGGCAGTTATGAACCAACATGTAGGTGCTGGGAACAGAGCTTGGGTCCTCTGAAAGGGCAACAAGTGCTCTTAACCACTGAGCCATCTCTCCAGCCCCACCCCCTTTTTGTTTAAAATTTGCCACTTACTAAAGATGAAAACAAATCCAGGCCCACTCACCTGCCATAGTACTGGGCATACACAGCCATGCCTAGCTTTTTACATAGGTGCTTAGGATTCAAACTCAGGTCTTCATGTTTGCAGCAACTGCTTTTGCCTGCTGAGCCACTTCTGCAGCCCTGGAAACTGAACTTCAAATGGCACATAATAATAACTTATGAACCACTAAGTATGGTTTGTCAACTCAATATAGCTTTTTAGAATTAAAAATTTAAAGAGAAGCTGGGCATGGTGATGGCGCACCTGTAGTCCCAATACTTGGGAAGCAGAGGCAGGCGGAGCTCTGTGAGTTCAAGGCCTCCTTGGTCAACACAGTGAGTTCCAGGCCAGCTGGGGCTGCAGGGAGACCCTGTCTCAAAAAGACCAAAAAAGTGAACCTAGAAACTTACAGCCTCTTATGAAAGAGATGTATTCTTGCTCTGGGGTGTGTTACTGAATATATTAAAGCTGTAATGAAATGCTTCTAATCATGTAGTTATTAAAAACTAAAAAAAAAATTTAAAGAGAGTCAGGCTTGGTGGCACGCACTTTTAATTCTGCCACTTGGGAGGCAAAGGCAGGCAGATCTCTGTGAGTTTCAGGCCAGTCAGTGGTGCCCAGTAAGATTCTGTCTCAAGATATATATAAAAAACTTCATCTTTCAATGATAATCTGTTTAAATCTCACCCTATTGAGAGCCACCTTGTCTGTATGTGGTAATAAGTCCATATCTTTATAAAGGTTTGAAAATAGGTACAGTTTTTAATGAAATTAATGATTTTGGTAGTATCTTGAGGTACCACTCTAAAGACAGTTGTGGCTACAAGTGCCCATGGGAACATTCAGGGAGTCAGAGTGCTGTCTACTGCTACTAGTTTTAACTTTTGCTACAAATCCAAGATGTTCCCCCATCTTTGCTCCAGCACCATCTGTACAGGCACCAATACAATCTTTTTACACTCTAAACGGTCAACTGTGGAAAATGTATCGACTTTTAAGATAACTGCTTCTTCCGGTGTGACCTAAGTAGCAACAAAACAGTAACTCCTCATGAATGTTTTCTTCGTTATCAAACCGAGCATAAACAACTGTGTCAGTATGAAAAACATCAGTTGTTTCATCAAAGCAGTTGCAAACTTTGAGCTGCCCTTAGGCCAGGCAATAAGCTGCTGAAATTGGTCATCAGTGATTTCAGACATTCTTTTTGGAAACAGCACTGCATGTTTAAAACATTTTACAAATTTCATCTCCGTAATTTTCCCCATGAACTTTTTCCCCATGAATGTGTCTAAAAAGCCACGGCCTCACTATGTAGCCCTGGAACTAGCTAAGTAGACAAGATTAACCTCGAACTCAGATGCTTCTGCCTCGAATGCAAGCAGCCCCGCCTTCAAAAGAACTTATTCTGCCATTTTAATGGAAGCAGATAACCGGGCTTTGAAGTTGCAGCGGGAAGATACATACAAGTTGGAGGCCAAGCTGAGTTAGTGTGAGATCGATCCTTTGTCAATAAGCAAACAAAAGAGCCTCAGGTAACAGAGTATCTTCTATCGCACAGTCTTCCAGGTTTGCTCGGCTATACAAAGTAAATAACAGTTCTGCAGGTTTGTTATCTAAACGATGAGATACAAACGCTAGTTTGCCCCAGGGTCAGCTACACAATATGTGCTTCAAAAACAAAAAGGCGCGCACGCTCAGCTTAGGCGAGGCGCACGATCCCGCGTCCCGGTGGTCGCCTCGCGCTCCCAGACCCCGGCCCGAGCCTGGCGCGGGAGGCGGAAGGAAGCGCGGCTGTCCCCGGCCGACCCCGGCTCGGCCGCCACCTCCCGGCGCCGGCGGCTCCGGTAGCCCGCGCACCGCTACCTACCGGGGCTCTGACTCGGCCTCAGCCTCCGGCGCGGGCCCAATCTCCGCGGCGCTTACTGGCTGGCTCCCTGCACACAGGCGGGGCTGGAGAGCGCGCACGCAAACCGGACGTCCGGCCAGCGGAAGGGATGCGGCTGGAGAGCGGGAGGCGGGGCAAAGAGTGCCCTTCCCCCGCGCCAGAGGAAGTGGGCGTGGCCTGGTCAAGCTGTTGAGAGCCGAAGGGTTCAGGGGCTCGCTGTGGTAGCCATGGCAGGTAACAAGGCAGCTTTTAGCCTTCGAGTCTTAAGAGCTCTCTGTAGGCATTATTATCTCAATCCTCAGAGTCCTTACGGTGGATACTGTTATCAATCTCATTTTACACACGAGGTAATTGATATTTAGAAGTTAATCCATTTGTCCTCTCTGTCAGAGGCATTTGATTGCAAGGCCCCATATCCTGCAGGTACTTAGTCTAGGCTCCTAAAGTGGGGGATAATCAGATCTACTGTGCAGTGTTGTTGAAAAAACTGAAAATATTGGGACTGAAGAGACGGCTCAGCGGTTAAGAGCACTGGCTGCTCTTGCAAAGGACTCGGGTTCAGATCTCAGCACCCACATGACAGCTAACAATCGTCTCTAACTCCAGATCCAGAGGATCCGATGCTGCCTTCTGACCTACGCGGGCATTGCACAACACGGGTGTATATACAAATATGTAGGCAATTCACTCATACACATAAAATAATAAATAAAATATTTTTAAAAAGAAAGAACTGAGGCCGGGCGTGGTGCAGCACTCCAGGAGGCAGAGACAGTCGGATCTCTGTGAGTTCAAGGCCAGCCTGTTCCACATAGTGAGATCAGGACAGCTGGGGCTACAAGGAGACCCTGTCTCAAAAAGACCAAAAAAAAAAGAAAGAAAGAACTGGAAATACATAAATGAATCTAATGAAGCAGTGTAGTAGGTAGTCCTAAATGAACAACTTCACCTCTCTTCGTCCTAAGCTGTATCCTTGTCCTCTACTTAAGGGATTTCTGCCACTAATATAGTCTGCCCAGAATAGTAGGGATTCTGTATATTGAAGAATGAAGTCATTTAACATTTTTCTCTGATCACTTTGTTACTGGATTGTAAAGTGCTCACTTCTCTATGGGGGACAAAAAAAAAGCCAGGTAACAGAATTAATGGACCTAGATTTACTGGACTGGCCTTGAGGACAATAGAGGAGACTTTGCTAACTCAAATCTCTATGGGTGGGGGGGGCTGTGGGGGCACAAAGGGCTTTTATAGGACAAAGGGATGATAGTGAGGCAATGGGCAGGAAATTTCACATGCTATGTGGAGTCTTACACTCTACACCCCTTGCTTCTTCACCTCTTTCTTGAAAAGTTGAGTAAATTGATTGGAACCTAGGACTTCGAAATCCTGGGATCAGCATCTGCATTTTCTTTCCAAACACATTATTTTTTTGCAAGGCAATTCATATGAGCTGAGAAGAGGCCTCTATAGTAGTCAGAATACCACATGAAAGTAGTGGGTAGTTAGCTGGGCTTGGTGCAGGAGGCCTGTGGTCCCAGCACTCAGGAAGCTGAGGCAGGAGGATCAGGAATTCTAGGACCAGCTTTAGGTCTATAGTGAGTTCTGAGGCCAGTTACATGAGACTGTCTCAAAGAAACACATACATACACAAGGGGGGAGGGGTGGTTAAAGGAGTTAGGGAAGGTCTGTAATCCCAGTTACTTGAGAATCTGAGGCAGGAGAAGCAAAGTTCAAGGTCCGCCTAGGCTACATAGTGAGTTCAAGGCCAGTCTGCACAAGTTATTGAGATTCTATCTCAAAATAAAAATTTTAAATGCGTTGGGGATACAGTTTAGTGATAGAAAACTTGCCTAATGGCCCAGAGGTCTAGTTTCAATCCTAGTACAAAAACAACAAAAAAACAAAACAAAACAAAATTAAGGAATTAGAGAGGAAAAGCAATAGTATCTGCCTGCCTTTAAAACCAACTTTCTTCTTGACTTCCACAGCCAAGGATACTTGGGCTATCTTCAGATAGGAATCTATCATTAGGCCTCCCTGCCCACACTGGCCTTAAACTTGCATACAGAATTTTGTTTTACAATGAAATAAGACATTTGATCCAAACATCCTGACAGTGCTGGAGCCTCCTCAACGTTATTTTCACCATCTGCACTTAGATATGCCCAGTGCCTTACAATATACACTGCCTCTAAAACAGCTCCTTTGTGTAAAATTCTTTAACAATTTTATACATGCAGGGTTTTCATTAATTTTTTACATTTGTGTTTGGGGGCATGGATGCAAGGTCAGGGAGAGGACAACTTCCAGGAGTTGGTTTTCTCCTACCATGTGGACTCCAAGGATCAAACTCAGTTGTCAGGCTTGGCAGCCAGTACTGAGCCATCTTGCTAGCCCTCATACATATTTTTTTTTAATTTTTTAATGTTTTTTTTTTTTTTTGTCTTTTTGAGACAGGGTCTCCTTGTAGCCCCAGCTGTCCTAGAACTTACTATGTAGACAAGGCTGGCTCCAAACTCACAAAGATCCGCCTGCCTCTGCCTCCCAAGTGCTGGGATTAAAGGCATGTGCCACCACGCCCAGCTAATGGTTTTCAAAATTTTTTTTATTTTTTTTATTTTATGTGTACGAGTGTATTGCCTGCATGTAAGTGAGTGCACCTGTGCCATGCAATGCCGTAGACGTCAGAAGAGGGTTTCAGATTCCCCTAGAACTGGAGTTAAGGACAGTTTGTAGCCGCCATGTGGGTTCTGGGAATCAAATCCAGGTCCTTTGCAAGAGCAGTTGGTGCTCTTAACCGCTGAGCCATCTCTCCAGCCCCATATTTTTTTAATTTTTTAAAAAATATTTTATTATTTTTATGTGTATTCGTGTATTGCCTGCATGTAGGCAAGTGCACCCATGTCATGCAATGCCCTCAGAGGACAGAAGAGGCTGTCAGATCCCCTGGGACTGGAGTTGGACAGTTGTTAGCTGCCATGTGGATGCTGGGATTCAAACCTGGGTCTTGTGCAAGAACAGCTAGTGTTTTTAACCACTGAGCCATCTCTCCAGCCCCATATGTTTTTATTTTTTATTTTTTATTTTTGGTCTTTTTTTGAGACAGGGTCTCCCTGTAGCCCCAGCTGGCCTCCCAAGTGCTGGGACTACAGGCATGCGCCACCACACCCGGCTGATTTTTTTTTTAATTTTTAAAAAAATTTATTTTACATGCTTGAAGCCAGGCGTGGTGGCTCACGCCTTTAATCCCAGCACTCAGGAGGCAGAGGCAGGCAGATCTCTATGAGTTCAAGGCCAGCCTGGTCTACATAGCAAGTTCCAGGTCAGCTGGGGCTATAGGGAAACCCTGTCTCAAAAAGACCAAAAAAAAAAAAAAAAAAAATTTACGTTTGAGTGTTTTGCCTGCATGTATGTAAGTGTGCCCATGTCATGCAATGGCCTGCGGAGGCCAGAAGAGAGCATCAAATCTCCTGTAACTGGAGATAAAGACAGTTGTTAGCTACTAGGTGAGTGCCAGTACTCTTAACCTCTGAGCCATCTCTCCAGCCCCATATGTATTTTTCATTACTATCTCTTATCTTCTTCCTGACAAGCCCCCCCTCTACTTTGATGGGTTTTTTCCCTTTGGTCTTTTTGAGGCAGCCTACTCCCTGTAACCCCAACTGGTCTGGAACTCTCTATGGAGAGCAGGCTGACCTCGATTTCACACCTGTCTCTACCTCCTGAGTGTTGGAACTAAAGGCATATTCCAAAATTAATAATTTTTCTTTTTTTTTGACTTCATTTTTATTTTATGTGTATGACTGTTTTGCCTGCATGCATGTAAGTGCACAATGTGTGTGCAGTGTCCACAGAGAGCAGAAGAAGGCATCAGATCCCCTTGATCTGGAGCTACAGAGGTTATTAGCAGCCATGTGAGTGCTGGGAACTGAACTCATGTCCACTGGAAGCGCAGCCAATGCTTTTAATTACTGAGGCATCTCTCCAACCATCCCTGTTTTGACTGAGTTTAATTGTGCTTGCCTACATGAACATGAGCAGGAGGTATTTACTGGGACAAGGGAAACTTATTAGCAGTTACGCCAGTGAAGAGCGCCAGTGAAATGGCTCTCCCTCAAGATGGATTTTTGCTGTCTTTGAAGTTCAATCCCAGCAGTTGAAAGTTCTTTAGGAAATAATAGCTCTCCTATTCTAAGCCAGGAGGCCAAGCAGAATAAATCTCTTTTCCTTTAAAGGCAGAGCTAATGTATCAATCTCCTTCCTCAAGCAAGCAACTTTCAGATAACCTAGCTCTGTGGTTCTCAGAATTTTTACTCCTGACCTGCCAGAGGGATACCTATATTCCATCAGTAACTATGGCTGGCCATGACAGAAATAGAAACATACATGCTGTTCTGGTTTGTTTCTTCATTGCTGTGACAAAATACTCTGACCACTACCAACTTGGGGAGGAAGGGGTTTATTTAGGTTACAACTCCCAGGTCGCAGTTCATCAGGGAGCTCAAGGTAGGAACTCAGGGCAGGAACCTGGAGTCAGGAGCTGAAGCACAGGCCATGGAGGACCTCTGCTTACTGGCTTGCGCCCTTGGCCCCTGCTCAGCCTGCTTTCTTATGCAACACAGCCCACCTGCCCAGAGGTGGCACCACCCACAGTGGGCTGGGCCCTCCCACATCACTCATCAAGAAGATGCCCTTCAGACATGGCCACAGGCCAGTTCAATAGAGGCAATTCCCCAACTGAGGCTCCCTCAACCTGGGTGTGTCAAGTTGACACTAAAGCTACCCAGCACACCTGCCCTGCCCTGGTCAGCTCACCACTTATCTGGACTTTCCCAAGGCATGTTGTATTTTGAAAAACTGCAGATAATTCTGCTTATAATACTGGGAACTATTAGTGTACCATTAAGGGCCTTGCACCCCTAGAAGGTTCTTAGTCTCATTCATAAAAAGTTTAGGAATAGACCCAAACAGAAGCTTTAGGACAATTTTATTAGAATTTTAAAGAAAAATCCTCAGGACAGGTAAACTGGTTATCTCAGCAGCTGTCTTAAGGAGAATGGAGGGGAAAAAGCCAAGAAGCCATGCAGGTTTAGAGCCTGCATGGAGATCACGCCCGTGGCC